TGTGTTGTCTCTCTGTGTGTGTCTCTCTGTGTGTCTATGTTGTGTGTCTCTCTCTCTGTGTGTCTCTGTGTTGTGTCTCTCTGCTTGTGTCTCTGTGTCTATGTTGTGTGTCTCTCTCTGTGTGTCTCTGTGTTGTCTCTCTCTGCTTGTGTGTCTGTCTGTGTGTCTCTCTCCGTGTGTCTCTGTGTGTCTCTGTGTTGTCTCTCTCTGCTTGTGTGTCTGTCTGTGTGTCTCTCTCCGTGTGTCTCTGTGTGTCTCTCTCTGCTTGTGTGTCTATGTTGTGTGTCTCTCTGTGTGTGTGTCTCTTTCTGTGTGTCTCTGTGTTGTCTCTCTGCTTGTGTGTCTGTCTGTGTGTCTATGTTGTGTGTCTCTCTGTGTGTCTCTGTGTTGTCTCTCTCTGCTTGTGTGTCTGTGTGTGTGTCTCTCTCTGTGTGTGTCTCTGTTGTGTCTCTCTCTCTCTGTGTCTCTGTGTTGTCTCTCTCTGCTTGTGTGTCTGTGTCTATGTTGTGTGTCTCTCGCTGTGTTTCTGTGTGTCTCTGTGTTGTCTCTCTCTGCTTGTGTGTCTGTCTGTGTGTCTATGTTGTGTGTGTCTCTCTCTGTGTGTGTCTCTGTGTTGTCTCTCTCTGTGTGTCTCTGTGTCTATGTTGTGTGTCTCTCTGTGTGTCTATGTTGTGTGTCTCTCTTTGTGTGTGTCTCTGTGTGTCTCTCTCTGTGTGTGTCTCTGTGTTGTCTCTCTCTGCTTGTGTGTCTGTGTTGTCTCTCTCTGCTTGTGTGTCTGTCTGTGTGTCTCTGTTATGTGTCTCTGTGTGTCTCTGTTGTGTGTCTCTCTGTGTGTCTCTCTGTGTGTCTCTGTTTGTCTCTCTGCTTGTGTGTCTGTCTGTGTATCTGTATTGTGTGTCTCTCTGTGTGTGTCTCTGAGTTGTCTCTCTCTGCTTGTGTGTCTGTCTCTGTGTCTATGTTGTGCGTCTCTCTCTGTGTGTCTGTGTTGTCTCTCTCTGTGTGTCTCTGTGTTGTCTCTCTCTGCTTGTGTGTCTGTCTGTGTGTCTATGTTGTGTGTCTCTCTCTGTGTGTCTCTGTGTTGTCTCTCTCTGCTTGTGTCTCTGTGTCTATGTTGTGTGTCTCTCTCTCTGTGTGTCTGTGTTATCTCTCTCTGGTTGTGTGTCTGTCTGTGTGTCTATGTTGTGTCTCTCTATGTGTCTCTGTGTTGTCTCTCTCTGTGTCTATGTGTGTCTCTCTCTGTGTGTCTCTTTGTGTCTCTCTCTGCTTGTGTGTCTGTCTGTGTATCTATGTTGTGTGTCTCTCTCTGTGTGTCTCTGTGTTGTCTCTCTCTGTTTGTCTCTCTCTCTGTGTCTATGTTGTGTGTGTGTCTCTCTCTGTGTCTGTGTTGTCTCTCTCTGCTTGTGTGTCTGGTGTCTGTCTGTGTGTCTATGTTGTGTGTCTCTCTCTGTGTGTCTATGTTGTGTGTCTCTCTCTGTTTGTGTGTCTGTCTATGTGTCTATGTGTGTCTCTCTCTGTGTGTCTCTGTGTTGTCTCTTTGTGTGTGTGTCTGTCTGTGTGTCTATGTTGTGTGTCTCTCTCTGTGTGTCTATGTTGTGTGTCTCTCTCTGTGTGTCTATGTTGTGTGTCTCTCTCTGCTTGTGTGTCTGTCTGTGTGTCTCTGTTGTGTCTCTCTCTGTGTGTCTGTGTTGTCTCTCTCTGCTTGTGTGTCTGTCTGTGTGTCTATGTTGTGTGTCTCTCACTGTGTCTCTGTGTTGTCTCTCTCTGCTTGTGTGTCTGTCTGTGTGTCTCTGTTGTGTCTCTCTCTGTGTGTCTCTGTGTTGTCTCTCTCTGCTTGTGTGTCTGTGTGTCTATGTTGTGTGTCTCTCTCTGTGTGTCTCTGTGTTGTCTCTCTCTGTGTGTCTCTGTGTTGTCTCTCTCTGCTTGTGTCTCTATGTCTATGTTGTGTGTGTCTCTCTGTGTGTCTCTGTGTTGTCTCTCTCTGCTTGTGTGTCTCTCTGTATGTCTCTGTGTTGTCTCTCTCTGCTTGTGTGTCTCTCTGTATGTCTCTGTGTTGTGTGTCTCTCTGTGTGTCTGTGTTGTTTCTCTCTCTGCTTGTGTGTCTGCGTTGTCTCTCTCTGTGTATCTGTGTTGTGTGCCTCTGTGTGTGTCTGTCTGTGTGTCCCCGTGTCTGTGTTTTGTCTCTCTGTGTGTCTATGTTGTGTGTCTCTCTCTGTGTGTCTCTGTGTTGTCTCTCTGCTTGTGTGTCTGTCTGCGTGTCTATGTTGTGTGTCTCTCTGTGTGTCTCTGTGTTGTCTCTCTCTGCTTGTGTGTCTGTCTGTGTCTATGTTATGTCTCTCTGTGTGTGTCTCTGTGTTGTCTCTCTCTGTGTGTCTCTGTGTTGTCTCTCTCTGCTTGTGTCTCTATGTCTATGTTGTGTGTGTCTCTCTGTGTGTCTCTGTGTTGTCTCTCTCTGTGTCTCTGTGTTGTCTCTCTCTCTGCTTGTGTCTCTATGTCTATGTTGTGTGTGTCTCTCTGTGTGTCTCTGTGTTGTCTCTTTCTGCTTGTGTGTCTCTCTCTCTGTGTCTATGTTGTGTGTCTCTCTGTGTGTCTCTGTGTTGTCTCTCTCTGCTTGTGTCTCTATGTCTATGTTGTGTGTCTCTCTGTGTGTCTCTGTGTTGTCTCTCTCTCTGCTTGTGTGTCTGTCTCCGTGTCTGTGTTTTGTCTCTCTCAAATCTAGTTCTACCTGATGACGGTTGCTTGTGTTGCAATCGAAACGTCGTACTCTATTGTTTAATTTACTATCTACGTGACTTTACCGAACGAAACAAATAATAATAAAAAAATAAACAAAAAACTACGACGTTTCGATCTCAACACAAGGGACCGTCAGCAGGTGCTGTGGCTTTCACACCTGATCATGACTGATTGTGTTGCAGTCGAAACGTCGTGAGAATTTTTATTGTTTTATATATATAGTTTTAAATTATTTTATTGTTTCCCTTCTACGTGGTGACTTTACCGAAAGACCCAAAGAATATGAATTCCTGCAGTCACGAAAGCTTCAAGTCAAGAATGAATCTATTTGGTGGTTGAACATCTGCTCACAACGCTTGTTTTACTTAGCCAGATAGGGTACATCTCTATAAAACTGAACTCTTTAACAAAAAACAATATTTTTCAGAATCGACCTGGCCATCACAAATGATCGCTCACAGAAGTGGGCTCATCACGTGGACCATTGGCAGCAGCCAAAATAATCGGCATCATACATCATTAGACCTCCTTTGCCAGTACCAAAATATAATAATAGGGGTTTTTCCCCCCTTTTTTCTGGCAACAAAACTGAAGCCTTTTTTTTTTACAAGGATTCATATTACTGCATTAACCACAATACCTGCAGTCAGAATGCAAACAAAAAAAAACATACTATGATAATATGATGCATTGTCCTTGAAACTTGAAACAAAGAAAGCCGTCCCTTGGTGTGGACCAATCAGTTTCAAGGACAATGCATCATATTATCATAGTATGTTTTTTTTTATAGGAATAGGTTTTACCCTTTTAACTGGAACAAAAACTGACACCTTTATTCAAGGCATCATGTTTGCAATAACCACAACACAAGCAGTCAGAATGCAAACAAAAAAGACAACTCTGATAATAATATCCACTGTCCTTGAATAAAGGTGTCAGTTTTTGTGCCAGTTAAAAGGGTAAAACCTATTCCTATATCTTGTTTCTGGCAAAGGAGGTCTCATAGTATGTTTTTTGATTGCATTTTGACTGCAGGTACTAGTGGTTAATGCAGTAAACATGAATCCTTGAAAAAAGGTTTCGGTTTTGTTGCCAGAAAAAAATGGGAAAAACCCTATTATTAAATCGGCATCATCTGAAGTCTTACTTGGGGGATTGCGAGTTCGCTTCGTGATTCATGGTTACGCGACTCAACGTAATTACGTGACTACTCGACTATTACTCAAACCGATTACTTTGAGTCGTGTACTCGTGTAGCGTTTCATAATAAAGGTTTTTTTTGGGTTAGATGGTGTTATTTATAAATGTGTCGTAACCCTCCACCACCCGACACGGCCAAACAGTAAAAAAAAGGTGTCACGTTTACAAAAAAGACAAAATAGTTCACTACTTTAGCCCACCGGTGCGTGGAATAGTGAATCAACATCATGTACATATTTTGAGTACGACGTTTCGCTGGTAATTACATCCGGCATCATCGGCAAATTCGCCTACGTGTTAAACTGTAGAGGGTTTTTTTGCATTGATTTTTTTAGGGATCCCTCGTTCCCCCTGGATAAATGTGTGGCCAATGCTTCTGAAAAATAAGTTAAGAGCTCACTGGGGCTTTGCCTGCGAGGATGATAATGGTTGAGCGTTGTTTGTGTGTTGGGTCATTTGTTTAACTATCGTGTACTTTGCACTACTGTCGTGTTTTTTTTGTAACTCTTTGTCGTTGTGACGTTCTTACCCAGTGGTCCCTACTGGACATGTGTGAACAAAGAGCTTCATAGCTCATCGGATTTCTCCTGCAGTACAAATAAAATATTCGGACGCTTGTGTTGCGCCCGAAACGTCGTGATTTATTTTAATGTTATTTCTAACTACGTGATGACTTTACCGAAAGAACCAAAGAGCATGGATTCCTGCAGTCAGGAAAGCTTCAAATCAACATTGAGATAATTCTTTAAAAGTATTTTTGCCTCTCCCATAAAGTAAATATCCAGACGCCAAGAGGCACTTTGATGAGCTGATATCATTAGTGATAGCCAGGCCGTATCTGAGCAACAAGTTAATAGCTCCGTGGGGCTTTGCCTGCTAGGATGGGCATGGTTGGTTTAGCGTTGTTTGTGTTCGCGTCTTGGAGTGATTTGATTACATTTTTTTGCACTTACGTAAATATTCCAATCGTGTACACATTCCTTTTAGAAGCACGCCCGTAGGCCCGCCCCCCTGGTGACGTGCGCAACCAGGCCACGCCCTCGAGCCCCACCTTGATGACGTCGGCGGCGCGAGCCACTTCACGTCCCCCCCCCGCACGTCACCTGTTCCCGGAAGTGAGGTTTCATTTTTGTTGCCGAGCGTTGGGACGCATCGGGGACGCGGGCGAGACTTCGTCAACGTGTGGCGGGGTTTACACGTTCACAGGTACACACACGTACACACAGGTACACACAGGTATACACAGGTATACACGTTCACAGGTACACACACAGGTACACGTACACAGGTACACGTACACAGGTACACACAGGTACACACTCACAGGTACACACACGTACACAGGTACACACAGGTACACACTCACAGGTACACACTCACAGGTACACAGGTACACGTACACAGGTACACACAGGTACACAGGTACACGTACACAGGTACACGTACACAGGTACACACACGTACACAGGTACACACAGGTATACACGTTCACAGGTACACACACGTACACAGGTACACACAGGTACACGTACACAGGTACACAGGTACACGTACACAGGTACACGTACACACTCACAGGTACACACAGGCAGGTACACACAGGTACACACTCAGAGGTACACGAACACACGTACACACAGGTACACACAGGTACACACGTACACAGGTACACGTATACACTCACAGGTACACACAGGTACACAGGTACACGTTCACAGGTACACACAGGTACACAGGTACACAGGTACACGTACATGTACACAGGTACATGTACTAGTACAGGTATTCAGGTACACGTACACAGGTACACACACAGGTACACACAGGTACACGTACACAGGTACACACACGTACACACTGACAGGTACACACTCACAGGTACATGTACACAGGTACATGTACACAGGTACACACACGTATACACGTACACACTCACAGGTACACACGTTCACAGGTACACACACGTACACAGGTACACGTACTAGTACACGTACACACATACACAGGTACACGTACACAGGTACACAGGTAGACGTACACAGGTTCACAGGTACACACGTTCACAGGTACACACACGTACACACAGGTACACACTCACAGGTACACGTACACAGGTACACGTACACAGGTACACGTACACAGGTACACACTCACAGGTACACACTGGTATACACGTTCACAGGTACACACACGTACACACAGGTACACGTACACAGGTACACACTCATAGGTACACAGGTACACACACGTACACGGTCACAGGTACACACGTACACAGGTACACACTCACAGGTACACACAGGCAGGTACACACGTACACACTCAGAGGTACACGTACACACAGGTACACACAGGTACACACTCAGAGTTACACGTACACACAGGTACACACAGGTACACACTCAGAGGTACACGTACACACAGGTACACACAGGTACACACAGGTGCACGTACACAGGTACATAGGTACACACTCACAGGTACACACAGGTACACGTTCACAGGTACACACACGTACAGAGGTACACGTACTAGTACAGGTATTCAGGTACACGTACACAGGTACACACAGGTACACACTCACAGGTACACACATGTACTAGTACAGGTACACACAGGTACACACAGGTACACGTACACAGGTACACACGTACACACTCACAGGTACACGTACACAAGTACAGACAGGTACACACGTACACAGGTCCACACACGTACACAGGTACACGTACTAGTACACACGTACATACTCACAGGTATACACTCACAGGTACACACTCACAGGTACACACTCACAGGTACACACAAAGACAAAGATCCCCCTGTATAGCCTTAACAGACTGTAGGGGCAAGTGCTGTTAGCGAGCACCTATGAAGGCCGGAACGGTACACGAGGGGGTGGGTGGCCAGCACCACGCCCGACCGCCTTTGTCTCCCCAGTGGCAATGTTTTTATCCACTGCACCAGCTACTCAGTTGAGGCTTAGTCGACCTAGGGGAGGCCCAGGACCGGTTCAGATAATCGTCACTGGTGTTGGCCGTGAGCGGGAATCGAACCCGGGTCGCCAGGTTCATAGCGCAGCGCGCTAACCGCTACACTACCGCTCCGTGTGTACCTGTGTATGCAGGTACACATGTACACACTCACAGGTACTACTACACACTCACAGGTACACGTACACAGGTACGCACGTGCACAGGTACACGTACACACTCACAGGTACACACAGGTACACACGTATACACTCACAGGTACACGTACACACTCACAGGTACACGTACACAGGTACACACGTACACACTCACAGGTACACGTACACAGGTACACACAGATACACACGTGCACACTCACAGGTACACGTACACAGGTACACACAGGTACACACGTACACACTCACAGGTACACGTACACAGGTACACACAGGTACACACAGGTACTAATACAGGTACACACAGGTACACACTCACAGGTACACGTACACAGGTACACGTACACACTCACAGGTACACGTACACAGGTACACGTACACAGGTACACGTACTAGTTACGGTACACACGTACACACTCGGGTACACACTCAGGTACACGTACACAGGTACACACTCACAGGTACACACAGGTACACACGTACACAGGTACACGTACACACTCACAGGTATTAGTACAGGTACACATAGGTACACACAGGTACACACACGTACACACTCACAGGTACACACAGGTGCACACAGGTACACACGTACACACTCACAGGTACACACGTACATACTCACAGGTACTAGTACACACTCACAGGTACACACGTACACACTCACAGGTACACACGTACACACTCACAGGTACACGTACACAGGTACGCACGTACACAGGTACACGTACACACTCACAGGTACTAGTTTCAGGTACACACAGGTACACACGTACACACTCACAGGTACACGTTCACAGGTACATACATACAAACATATACACGTACACACTCACAGTTACATTACACAGGTACATACATACACACATATACACGTACACACTCACAGGTACACGTACACAGGTACACGTACACACTCACAGGTACATACACACGCATACATGAACACACTCACAGGTACATGTACACAGGTACACGTACACACTCACAGGTACACGTACACAGGTACACACTCACAGGTACACACAGGTAGTAGTACAGGTACACACGTACACACTCACAGGTACACGTACACAGGTACACACAGGTACACACGTACACACTCACAGCTCCACGTACACAGGTACACACAGGTACACACTCACAGATACTAGTACAGGTACATACGTACACACTCACAGGTATACGTACACACTCACAGGTACTAGTACAGGTACACACAGGTACACACGTACACACTCACAGGTACACGTACACAGGTACACGTACACACTCACAGGTACTAGTACAGGTACACACGTACACACTCACAGGTACACGTACACAGGTACATGTACATACACACATCCACGTTCACAGGTACATACACACATACACGTACACAGGTACATACACACATATACACGTACACACTCACAGGTACACGTACACAGGTACACGTACACACTCACAGGTACTAGTACAGGTACACACGTACACACTCACAGGTAGACGTACACAGGTAGATGTACATACACACATATACACGTTCACAGGTACATACACGCACATATACACGTACACACTCACAGGTACACGTACACAGGTACACGTACACAGGTACATACACATGCACGTTCACACTCACAGGTACATGTACACAGGTACATACATACACACATATACACGTACACACTCGCAGGTACACGTACACAGGTACATACATACACACATATACACGTACACACTCACAGGTACACACTCACAGGTACACACAGGTACACGTACACAGGTACACGTACACACTCACAGGTACATACACACACGTACACACGCATACATGTACACACTCACAGGTACACGTACACACTCACAGGTACATACACACAGGTACACGTACACACTCACAGGTACATACACACACACATACACGTACACACTCACAGGTACATATACACAGGTGCATACACACATATACACGTTCACACTCACAGGTACACGTACACAGGTACACGTACACACTCACAGGTACATACACACATACACACGCATACATGTACACACTCACAGGTACACGTACACAGGTACACATACACACTCACAGGTACATACACACATATACACGTACATACTCACAGGTACTAGTACAGGTACACAGGTACAGGTACACGTACACAGGTACTAGTACATGTACACAGGTACTAGTACAAATACACAGGTACATGTACACAGGTACACAGGTACATGTACACAGGTACACGTACACACTCACAGGTACATATACACACTCACACGTACATACACACACGTACACGTACACAGATACAGGTACATGTACACACAGGTACAGGTACATACATATACACGTACACACTCACAGGTACACGTACACACTCACAAGTACTAGCACAGGTACAGGTACATGTACACAGGTACATGTACACACTCACAGGTACATGTACACACTCACAGGTACATGTACACGTACACACAGGTACATGTACACAGGTACACGTACACACTCGCAGGTACTTGTACAGGTACATACACACACGTACACACTCACAGGTACATACACACATATACAGGTACACACACATACAGGTACATATATACAGACACATACAGGTACACATATACACAGATACACACACATACAGGTACACATACGTACAGGTACACATGTGTACAGGTACGTAGCCAACCGTGTACACACATTCATGTGTACATATATACACACACATACACACACATACACACAGATACACATACAGGTTCTGTATATAAAAGGTTACACACACGCATAGCTACATAGGTGCATAGTGCACACACACATACACAGGTACATACATACCTACACCTACATACACGCCTGTAGAGTAGGTAACATCACACCCACACACACATGCCTACAGTATACCTGTCCGATCTATAGACAGACGCACAGGTGTACACGGGGTGTACACGGGGGTGTGACATAGAGAAACATCGTCGCTGCTGTCACAACAATCACAGTGTCATTGATCGGATAGCGTCACCCACTCAAAGATCACTCACACCTCGCTTAAAGACGAGCCAGACTCACCCACCCTATCACTCACCCACTCACTCGCTCGCCCCCCCCCACACACCCCCACACACTCACCCACACACTCACCCACCCACTGACTCTTACACTCAACTACCCACTGACTCTTACACTCACTCACCCACTCACTCTTAGACTCACTCACCCATGCCCTCTTACACTCACTCACCCACACACTCATTCGTACACCCACCCACACACTCACTCACCCACACACTCACTCACCCACCCACCCATTCTTACTCACCCACTCACCCACGCACACACTCTCTCACTCACCCACCCACACACTCACCCACCCACTCATTATTTCACTCACTCACTCACCCACTCATTATTTCACTCACTCACCCACTCACTCACCCACGCACACAGTCACTCACCCACCCACACACTCATTCTTACACTCACCCACCCACACACTCATTCATACACTCACCCACCCACACTCATTCTTACACTCACTCATCCACTCACTCACCCACGCCCACGCACACAGTCACTCACCCACCCACACACTAATTCTTACACTCACCCACCCACACACTGATTCTTACACTCACCCACCCACCCAGACACTCATTCATACACTCACTCACACAGTCATCATCATTATTACACTCACTCACCCACCCACTCACTCACCCACCCACACACTCACTCACTCACCCACCCACTCATTCTTACACTCACTCACCCACTCACTCACTCACCCACGCACACAATTACTCACCCACCCACCCACACACTAATTATTACACTCACCCACCCACACACTCATTCTTACACCCACCCACACACTCACTCACCCACCCACTCATTCTTACACTCACTCACCCACTCACTCACCCACGCACACAGTCACTCACGCACCCACACACTAATTCTTACACTCACCCACCCACACACTCATTCTTACACCCACCCACACACTCACTCTTAAACCCACTCATTCTTACACTCACTCACCCACTCACTCACTCACCCACCCACTCATTCTTATACCCACACACACACTCACTCACCCACTCACTCATTCTTACACTCACTCACCCACTCACTCACCCACGCACACACTGATTCTTACACTCACCCACCCACACACTCATTCATACACTCACTCACCCACAGTCATCATCATTATTACACTCCCTCATCCACCCACTCACTCGTACACTCACTCACCCACCCACATACATAATTTCGTGCACACGTACACACATATACACTCACACAACTACACACAGCATACACTCTCTTGTATTTATATATACACACACACCCACAAATATACAGTGTATAGATGTACACCTGTGCACAGACACACTTATACATACGGTAGACACGTATACACCTGTGCACACATTACACCTGCACAAAGGTACATATACTGTATGCTCACGTACGTGACCTGCGCACACAGGTGGAGCCGGCTGGAACCATGGGATCAACCTGGTTCGTGCTACCTTTGGTCTGGGCTGCAATTGCAGGTGAGTGATAGAGAGACAGGCGTGGCACAGGTGAGATACAAATACACGTGAGATAGAGATGGTACATGGCCTAGTTTCAGGTAAAGTGGTTACACGTTTAAGCACGATACAGGTGAGACAGGGACAGGTGGGACACTGGAGATAGACGGGTACAGGTGAGACACGGGGTACAGGTGAGACAGGGTACAGGTGAGACACAGGTACAGGTAAAATGGGTACAGGTTAGACAGGGTACAGGTGAGACAGGGTACAGGTGAGACAGGGTACAGGTGAGAGACAGGTACAGGTAAAATGGGTACAGGTGAGACACGGGGTACAGGTGAGACAGGGTACAGGTGAGACACAGGTACAGGTAAAATGGGTACAGGTGAGACAGGGTACAGGTGAGACACAGGTACAGGTGAGACACAGGTACAGGTGAGAGATAGGTACAGGTGAGACAGGGTACAGGTGAGACACAGGGTACAGGTGAGACACAGGTACAGGTAAAATGGGTACAGGTGAGACACAGGTACAGGTGAGACACAGGGTACAGGTGAGAGACAGGTACAGGTAAAATGGGTACAGGTGAGACACGGGTAAAGGTGAGACACAGGTACAGGTGAGAGACAGGTACAGGTAAAATGGGTACAGGTGAGACAGGGTACAGGTGAGACACAGGGTACAGGTGAGACACAGGTACAGGTAAAATGGGTACAGGTGAGACACAGGTACAGGTGAGACACAGGGTACAGGTGAGAGACAGGTACAGGTAAAATGGATACAGGTGAGACACGGGTACAGGTTAGATGCAGGTACAGGTGAGACACAGGTACAGGCGAGAGATGGGTACAGGAGCGATGCAGGTATAAAGTGAGACGCAGTTAAAGGTGAGAGACAGGTACAGGCAAGAAAAGTACAGGTGAGACACGAGTACAGGTGAGACGCAGGTACAGGTGAGATGCGGGAACCAGGGGAGAGACTGGTTTTGAGTGGAGGGGCGAGTGGAGGGATGCGGTACCGGACACGATGATCTGACTCGAGTGAAACGACTCCAATGTAGAATCACGTTTTTGTTATTCGTCCAGGGGCCGCGTCCGTAATTCTCTTTGAAATGCGTTTTTCTTCTGCACCGCCTCTGTCCTGTCTGCCCGCGTGCAACGTGGAAGTCGTCCGCGGTTAACTCCCGCGGAGTTGATCCGATAACAAAATGGAACGCCCGAGTGTAGAGTTGCCTTGCTCTTGTGTGGCGTCGGCCTGGAGTCACTCGGAACGACGTTGATCGCGGGGTTAATGAGTTGGCTCCGTCTGTCCGTGACGTGGGGGGGTGTCACGGTAAGTCTGTAGAGTCGATCCGATACGAGTGGAAGTCTCGAGTGTAGAGTTACGTTGCTATTGGGGACTCGTCCAGGAGTAACTCGGAACGACGTTGATCGCGGGGTTAATGAGTTGGCTCCGTCTGTCCGTGACGTGGGGGGGTCACGGTAAGTCTGTAGAGTCGATCCGATGCGAGTGGAAGTCTCGAGTGTAGAGTTACGTTGCTATTTGGAACTCGTTCTGGAGTAACTCGGGACCACATTGATCGCGGAGTTAATGAGTTGGCTTCATATCGGTCTGTAACGTGGAGGTCACGGTTAACTCCTGTAGAGTTGATCCGATACGAATGGAACTCTCTAGTGTAGAATCGCCTTGCTATCTGCAGACTCGCCCTGGAGAAACCCGGAACCACATTGGACGCAGGGTTTAATGAGTTGGTGCCTTCCGTCCGTCCGTCCGTCTGTGTAAAGCGGGGATTTGGACTCCTGTCACAGTAATCTGCGCGACCGATCGCAGATCGTATGGCGACAACCTCGTGCCAACGTCGCCGCGGCCTCAATAGTGGCAGCAACAAAGGTTCCCGCTTACAGGAGGCTCGATTATCCTTGCCGGCAAGGACAGCCTTGGATAAGGAAAAAAAATAAAAATTTTGGTGGATCTCTATGCCAAAAAAAAAATCCAACCCCACTCGCATAGAGGTATAGATTAAGAACGAACACGAACCATCGACGCAGGTGCTCAGCGGTAACACTTTCCTGGCCCGCGCCGCCCAGCAGAGAAGCCGGCCCACCACGTGGATGACAGCAGAGCCACGCCTCTCAACGTCAATCAAACTCCGCCCCCAACCGTCGTAGCAACGATATTGCAACTACTGTACTGTGGAGGCGACCGCGTGGAGTTCGTATTAAACCGGGAGCAACGTATTTGTTAGGTTTTTCAAGCGCCGCCCGTGACTTGTAAATAAACATTTCCACGAATAACAATGCGTGTGTAACTGTTTTTAGATGAGGGGGGTGGGGGGAATCTGTGAGTTATTAATTTATGTCTGGCGTGGTTAGTGTAAGTCTTTTTACACGCTTTCTTTTAACTCTGTCGTTGTTGTTGTTGTCGTCGTCGTCATTGTTGTCGCCTCAAATCTTGTAACTCAATTGTAACCCCACTTCCCAATGTGCTATCGAGTGCAAACTTGGTATACTTATGCCATACTGATGACAATACTATATTCTATCATTAAAAATATATATTTTTTGAACATTCTTTTTTTTAATATGTTATGTTTCGGCTTGGGTATAATTGTCCACGCTCAACTGACGTTGGCTGTGATTGGCTATGGTCCCCTTACGCTGTGGCAAGCTTCGGGGCAACTTCCTGGAGTCGTGGAGTTCTTACATTACTAGTACATTTCATAAAAGCGTGTTTTGAAAAAGGTAAAAAAAAATATTACTAATTATTAAGGGAACATGTGGTGTCTCGGTTGTTGTCTGTGACTGTTTTTCTTTGCCGTGGGGTTTTGTTACTATCCCTTTCCCAAGCTTGAGAATTGATGATGGTGATGATGATGAACTTGAATACTTTATTTATTTAAGGGGCACGCCACGGTGGTAGTGATGTTATCTTCCTGGCCTGGTATGCGGGGAGGTCGGGGGTTGGATCCCGACTCTGATGATGCCTGTTCTATAGCTGGAGTTTACTTGGACCTCTCCCCATGGTAAAACGTTAACAACCTCGCCTGGTATACAGGACGTCGTGGGTTCGATCCAGACCCTGACAAATGCCTAGTGTAGATTTGGAGTTTCCGTGTCTCTCATTATCATCATCATCACGCTGGCTAGGAGATGTTGACTACCTCGCCTGGTCTACAGGAGGTCGTGGGTTCGATCCCGACCCTGACGCCTGCTGCTGCTGTATATTTGGAGCTTGCGGTGTCTCTCTCCATGGTCGCGTGGATTTTTCCCGGGCCCTCCGGTTTTTCCCTCCACGTTTAGAAGAACACGCGTTTAGACTCTTTAGATAAGTTTGCAGCGATAAATGTCCAAATGATGAGAGCCAATTTGTTGAGCCGCGACCATTTGTGGCCAGGTCGCGTTTGCAAAATGAGTTAAAAGTTCAGTGGGGGCTTTGGCTGGCATAATGGAGAATTGTTTAGTGTTGTACTTGTATGTGTTGGGTGCTTTGTTTACCTTACTTGTACTCTGTACTCTAACCTCGTTTTTTTATTGTTGTTGGAACATTCTGGACCCCGACTAGACGTCAGGTTTCTCCTGCAGTCTAAAAGAATGTTCTGATTTTAATCCGCAAATGGGATAAACCACACGCAGATAATCAAGTCGGTTTTTGCGACAAATATCCATATTATAGTTTTTTTGTGGCTTAGATCACGTAAATATAAATGTGTCGTTAAACCCGCCACCACCCGACACAGCCAATTAGTGAGGTTGTGTCATGTAAATGGAACGTGCCAATTCGTTACTAGTACAGCACTAGTGTATAGTGTATTATATAGTGTAGTATTATACTACAGCACCAGTGCATAGTGTAGTGTATAGTGTAGTGTATAGTGTAGTATACTAGTACAGCACTAGTGTATAGTGTAGTGTATAGTCTAGTGTGTCGTGTAGTGTATAATGTAGTATATTAGTACAGCACTAGGGTATAGTGTTGTATACTAGTACAGCACTCGTGTATAGTGTAGTGTATAGTATACTAGTACAGCACTAGTGTATAGTGCAGTGTATAGTGTAGTGTATAGTGTAGTATACTAGTACAGCACCAGTGTATAGTGTAGTGTATAGTATACTAGTACAGCACTAGTGTATAGTGTAGTGTATAGTTTAGTATACTAGTACAGCACCAGTGTATAGTGTAGTATACTAGTACAGCACTCGTGTATAGTGTAGTGTATAGTATACTAGTACAGCACTAGTGTATAGTGTAGTGTATAGTTTAGTATACTAGTACAGCACTCGTGTATAGTGTATAGTATACTAGTACAGCACTAGTGTATAGTGTAGTATACTAGTGTATACTGTAGTGTACAGTAGTGTAGTGTATAGTCGTGTAGTGTATAGTGTAGTTTATAGTAGTATAGTGTAGTGTATAGTAGTATATTGTATAGTGTAGTGTATAGTGTAGAATACTAGTAGAGCACTAGTATATAGTGTAGTGTATAGTAGTATATTGTATAGTGTAGTGTATAGTGTAGAATACTAGTACAGCACTAGTATATAGTGTAGTGTATTGTGTATAGTGGTGTAGTGTATAGTGTAGTTTACTAGTGCAGCACTAGTGTATAGTGTATTGTGTATAGTAGTGTATAGTGTAGTATACTAGTACAGCACTCGTGTGTAGTGTATATTGTATAGTATACTAGTACAGCACTAGTGTATAGTGTAGTATACTAGTGTATACTGTAGTGTACAGTAGTGTAGTGTATAGTCGTGTAGTGTATAGTGTAGTTTATAGTAGTATAGTGTAGTGTATAGTAGTATATTGTATAGTGTAGTGTATAGTGTAGAATACTAGTACAGCACTAGTATATAGTGTAGTGTATAGTAGTATATTGTATAGTGTAGTGTATAGTGTAGAATACTAGAAGAGCACTAGTATATAGTGTAGTGTATAGTAGTATATTGTATAGTGTAGTGTATAGTGTAGAATACTAGTACAGCACTAGTATAGAGTGTAGTGTATTGTGTATAGTGGTG